ATTAAGAGTTGTTAATCTAATCCTACGTAGCTTTTTCTCTGGTAATATCACACTACTAACTACTACTACCTGCAAATGAATGCTTCAGCTTCAATCATAACAATACAAGAGCACACAATAGATAACAAACTCAAGGTTAACTGCACCAAACTTGATTGCAGAAAATACGTCTTCAGCAACAGAGTGGTCAATGTTTGGAATACTCTACCTGAATCTGTGGTTTCTTCCCCAAACCCCAAAAACTTTAACCTTAGACTGTCTACTATTGACCTCACCGCCTTCCTAAGAGGCCTGTAGGGGGTGTGCATAAGCGCACCAATCGTGCCTACCGTCTCTGTCCTATTGTTTCTTTTTATTTTTCTTATAAGTATCCATCTCATGTATTCAAAACTACGTTTATTCTTATACCTGTATCTTGTAAGCGATTGACAAATCATATAAATAAAATAAATAAACTCTGGGAGGCAGTCGAGAACAGAGGAGCCTGGCATGCTGTGGTGCATGGGGTTGTGAAGAGTTGAACATGATTAAACAACAACAAATCCGTAATTTGGAAGCAGTGGCAGTTTGTTTCTCCTTGTGTAGTGCAGCATCTTGGAGATGGGTGGATTGGGCTTTGTTTTTCATTCTCAACTTTTTTAATGAACAGCCCAAAGAAGCAGGGATGGTGCTTACCACCCCTGCAATCTACAGTTGGCCAAATGGCAAATTAGTATTGAATTAATAACTCTGGCAAAGGACTTGTACCTGGAACACGTTGATCTGGGTTAATCAGTTGTGTTATGCATTACATTCCTATAGAAAACACAATCCATCTTAACTCTCTGTATCTTAGACCAGGAAAACAAAAGGTTTTGTGCTAATATAGTATTTATGGGTGTAGGTATCTGTGTGTTCTACATCTTTGTAAAATGAAATGGTTGCAAGCTTTACAACCAGGGGTGGGATTCAAATTTCTTAACAACTGTTTCTGTGGGCGTGGCCTAATTTGTGGGTATGGCTTAGTGGTCATATGATTGGGGGCGTGGCTTGCTGACTAGGCGTGGCTTAGTTATCATGTGACTGGGTGGGCATGGCTTGTATGTAAATATTGTAAATATTTATGTAAATATTGATTTTTTTTATTAAAAAAGAGCAACTTTTACCCAAAATCAGGCAAAGCAGGCAGGCAGATTGAGTTGCTCACAGAGTCACTCACAGATCTACCTTTCTGCAATCTGCTGCTGAGACTATCACATAAAATTTGCTTGCAAGCAAACTCATAAAATTTGCCTGCAAGGAAACACAAAATTAACGCACAACACACCATGTATATAAATATTGAATTTTTTATTTAAAGAAGAGCAACTTTTACCCAAAATCAGGCAAAGCAGGCAGGCAGATTGAGTTGCTTGCAGAATCACAGAGTAGTACACAGATCTAACTTTTGCAATCTGCTACCTGAGTCTGCACTGAAAAATAGAAGGTTCAGTCCTAAGGAAGGTTCAGCTCTGCTCTCCAGCCACTTCTCCCTCCCCTAGCCCCCTGAATACCACCCCTGACTGGGCCTCAAGGAAGCCTCCGGGGCGAAGGCGAAGCAGTACAACAGTGATTTAGATTAGCTAGAAAGCAAGAAATCTGATGATTTCCTGCTTTCTAGCTAATCTAAATCACGTGGCACAGCTGATAGTTGGAACAGCAGTAAGGGGAAAAAAAGGAAAAATAGCAACTTACCAAAAATTAGGTGAAGGCACAACGCAGGCAAGTTGGGTGGAGCGCATGCGAGATAAGAAGTGACTGGGTGGGTGGGGAGGGGAGGGGCCAGCCAGTGGCGCAATTTGCCGGTTCTCCAAACTGTGCAGAATCATAACAATCGGTTCTATAGAACCGGTGTGAACCAGTAGAATCCCACCCCTGTTTACAACTGAACCAAAGTAGGGCCAATGTCACTTGTTCCCTAAGCAAATGAAATGCTGAGCACTCTTGTTTGTTCTGTCCATAAGCCATTTATTAAACCAACTGTCTTTCTAGAAAGCAATGATCTTACAAAATACATTTTTATTCACTACTAAACTCGAGCAGGCCTATATGCCAGAGGTAGGAAACCATGACCTCTAGGGATAGATGAGTTAAGATTCCTCAATCCTAACCAGTTCAATCGGTATAAAATGAAGATGGGAGTTGGTAGTTTATTTATTTATTTATTTATTTATTTGATTTGCCAATTGTTTACAAGATAATAAGTATAAATGTATACATAGTTGTGAATACATGAAATGGGTACATATAAGAAAAATAAAAGAATAAGAGAAACAATAGGACAGGGACGGTAGGCACGTTAGTGCGCTTATGCACGCCCCCTACAGGCCTCTTAGGGGTGAGGTCAATAGTAGACAGTCTAAGGTTAAAGTTTTTGGGGTTTGGGGAAGAAACTACAGAGTCGGGTAGAGTATTCCAGACATTGACCACTCTATTGCTGAAGTCGTATTTCCTGCAATCAAGTTTGGTGCGGTTAACTTTGAGTTTGTATCTATTGTGTGCTCTTGTGTTGTTATGGTTGAAGCTAAAGTATTCATTGACAGGTAGGACATTGCAATGTATGATTTTATATACCATGCTTAAGTCAGACCGAAGACGGCGTAATTCAAGGTTTTCTAGTTCTAGAATTTCAAGTCTGGTGGCATAAGGTATTCTACAACGAGTAGAGGAGTGGAGAACTCTTCTTGTGAAATATTTCTGGACTTTCTCAATTGTGCTAATATCAGATACGTAGTGTGGGTTCCAGACTGATGAACTGTATTCGAGTATTGGTCTAGCAAATGTTTTGTATGCTCTGGTTAGTAGTGTGATATTACCAGAGAAAAAGCTACGTAGGATTAGGTTAACAACTCTTAATGCCTTTTTGGCTATGTAGTTGCAGTGGGCTCTAGCACTTAGATCATTAGAGGTGAGTATTCCAAGGTCCTTTACAGAGCTTGGGTCATCAACAAGATCTTGACTATTCAGCTTGTATTTTATTTTCTGATTTTTTTTGCCAATATGTAAGACAGAGCATTTATTTGTTGAGATTTGAAGTTGCCATTTGTTTGACCACTCTGATACATAGTCAAGATCTTTTTGTAGGGTAGCAGTATTGTCTGTGGTATTGAACAGCTTTACATCATCAGCGAAGAGAACGCAATTGCTCTTAATATGATCACAGAGGTCGTTTATGTAGAGTATGAAGAGAGTTGGTCCTAGAACACTGCCTTGGGGAACACCACTATTGACAGGTACTGGATTTGATAGTACGCTCCCGATTTTGACCATTTGTTGTCTGTTTGACAGGAATGCTTCTATCCAGTTATTCAGTTGTCCAGAGATACCATAGGATTTTATTTTTAGGAGTAGTTTGTCGTGTACCACTGAATCAAAGGCTTTACAGAAGTCTGTAGATTGCGTCTATTGCTTTGCCCTGGTCGAGTTGTGTCGTCCATATGTTTTTGCAGTGTAAGAGTTGCAGATTACAGGATAGTTTTTTTCTGAAACCAAATTGTTTATTGGAGAGTAGGTTATTTGTCTCTAAGTGAAGGATGATGGATTGGTTAATAATTGATTCCATGACTTTACAGGTGATGCAGCATAAGGAGATTGGCCTGTAATTTTCAACTAGGCTTGGGTCTCCCTTTTTGAAGATGGGGATGACTGTGGCTTGTGACCATAGGTTAGGCAAGGAGCTGGTTCTGAAAGATTTTTCAAAGATTATGCTTAGAGGTTTGGCTATGGCAGTGGATAGCTTTCTTAAGAAGTAGGCACATATTCCATCCGGTCCAATAGATAGAGATGGTTTTAGGTTGCGTAGTGCTTTTTCAACATTGTCTTCTGTGAAATCAATATGTATTAGATCATTGTTGTTATCTGTGGTACGGCTAGGAAATACTGGGCATGATCCATTGCTGTTTACAAATACTGAGCCGAAGAATGTGTTAAAGATGTTGGCTTTAATGGTGTCGTCGTTGCAATCTTTACCATCAGGTCCTATCAAGGGAGGGATGGACCTTGAGTCTTTTAGTTTGTTGTTTACAAAATTGTAAAAAGCACGGGTGGAATTGGTGCTTAGAAGGTTTTCCTCTTGTTTAATGTGATAGTTGGTACATTCGGTACCAACGAATGTTGGTACAGTTCAGCACAAGCTGAAGGGTTCTATTATCTGAATCCCATTAGACTTACTAGCACTTACTTCAGGGTAAACATGTATACAATTACATTGTAAAATAACATTTAAATGATGAATTATGCCAGGAGCACTTAACAACGAGTATTTCAAAGACAATAACAAGGAAAAAGACCATGGGTGATTCAATGGCTAAATGTCTGCTTTCAGATGCTTGTTTGTTACAGGATGAGGATTAGTTCTGAGAAAATGGCTCATCCTTGTTGAGTTACTCCTAATTTTGGGCCAACAAAGGAATAATATTTTAATGTTGCTAATAATGCTACATCTTCCTCCTGGAAGCAGTGAGGCACCTATACCACATACCTGCTGACTGCATATGTCCTATAATTGCTGTTGCTGATTTGTATGGGGAACCTGACTTCCCCATGGAGGGAGCAGCTCGCAGTAAAAGGATTAGCCTTCCACCTTTTTCCCTTGGAATCCTGGACTGTGTTGGATGAAAGAACAGCTATTCTACCCACTTATTTTAATTTTCCATTTCAACCTTGCTTTGCACACGGCTACTTTAAAAGGGTCCCATATACTGGACATACCATGTAGTCCTTTCTGTCTTCTGCTAAAAGAAACACAAGTCAGTCCCACACAACCTGACCCATTCCTCATTTATGAACAATCCTTTTGTATTTTGTAGAACCTGGGGACTTGGCAAGGTAATAAAGGCGTGCAGTCTATAAATTAGAAATTCGAAAGTGTGAAGTTTTCTTTGTACTGCATTGTGTTTGTATTCTAATCTTCTGCTGTAACCCTGAAAGGACTATTAAGGGATGAATCACATTGCTAATTCATTTATCTGTGTTTCTTTCAGGTTTCGGTGGACATCAGCAGTAGTTCAATCCATGTATCAGTGGTGGAGAGAAGTGGACACCAGGTGCTCATGGAGGGTGCCCTTACCCACAGGATCAACACAGAGAACTCTGTCTGGAGTTTAGAACCTGGGAAATGTATTCTAGTAAGGACTAGCTCATCATTTCCTTTCAATGTATATGTGTACATGTATATGCACTCTCGTATCTGCACATGTACATACCCTCCAGGTATTCCTCAATTTACGACCACAATTGGGATTGAAATTTCCATCCTAAGTGGTTGCAGTCATGACTTGAGTCACACCTGATTTTACAACTATTTTATGATGGTTATTAAATGAATTCATTGTTGTTAAGCGAATGCCATGATAAGTGTGACTAATTCTTCTGAACGGGGCAACAGGCGAAAAAAGTTGCAAATTGCGATCATGTTACTATGGATCACTGCAACTGATTATAAATATGAACCAGTTGCCAAGAGCCCAAATTTTGATAGTAGTAGTATTTAGATTTATATACAATTTCATAGTACTTACAGCATTATCTTGAGTGGTTTACGGAGTCAGCATATTGGGTCCTCATTTTACCCACCTCGGAAGGATGGAAGGATGGGTCAACCTTGAGCTGATCAGGATCAAACTTCTGGCTGTAGTCACAGTTAGCCTGCAATTCTGCATTCTAACCACTCTGTCACCACATATGATCATATGTCCATATGCAACAGTCATTAAGTTTGAGGAACTTTTTCATCAATGTCATAACTTCGAACAATCACCAAATGAATGGCCATAAGTCAAGGACTACCTATATATTTTTTTAAAACCTGTGAACCGCTTTCAGGTTAATATCAGAATCAGAGCTGGAAGGGACCTTGGAGGTCTTCTAGTCCAGCCCCCCACTCAAGCAGGAGATCCTATACCATTTCAGACAAGTGACTGTCCAGTCTCTTCTTAAAATCCTCCAGTGATAAAGCACCCACAATGTCTGAAGGCAAGCTGTTCCATTGGTTAATTATCCTCACTGTTAGGAAGTTTCTCCTCAATTCCAGGTTGCTCCTCTCCTTGATTAGTTTCCATGCATTGTTTCTGGTCCTGCCCTCTGGTGCTTTGGAGAACAGGTTGACCTCCTCGTCTTTGTAGAAGCCCCTCAAATGTTGGAACACTGCTAAGACTCCAAAGTCCTTCTCAAAGTTATTGTTTTGGAGCCAGGTTTCATCTAATCTTTGCGTTTTTGTTTTTTTTTCTGCCCAGGTGTAAAGTTTTGCTTTTCTCTACATTAAATTTCATTTTGTGGCATAGGGCCCATTTATTTAAGTCTATTGAAATATTTTTGGATCTTGAGCTCGTCTTTTGGAGTGTTGGCTGTTCCTGCCAGTTTAATGTCATCTGCAAATTTGATGAGTTCTCCTTCTATTCCATCATTTATGAAGATCTGGAAGAGTACTGGGCCTAAGACAGAACCTTGTGGTACTCCACTGCTTACTTCCCTCCATGTGGATGTGGTACCATTAAGGACTACTTGTTGAGTACGGTTTGTCAACCAGTTACAAATCCAACTGGTGGTGATGTTGTCTATCTCACATTTTTCTAGCTTATCAAGAAGTAGATTGTGGTCTACTTTGTCAAATGCCTTGCTGAAGTCTAATTATACTAACGTATGTCCAAAGTAGACCACAGCTGGTCTACTAATTTAGTCACTTTGTCAAAGAATAAAATAAGATTAGTTTGGCATGATCTGTTTTTAACAAACCTGTACTGGCTACTAGTTAACTTCATTTGTTTCTAAATGTTCACAGATCTTTTTTTTTAAAAAAATATTATTTTTTCCAGGATCTTCCCAGGTATTGATGTTAAACTGATTGGTCTGTAATTTCCTGGGTCTGTTTTTTTCCACTTTTCTGAAGATGGGAATCACATCCGCTCTTTTTCAGTTCTCTGGTAGTTCCCAGTGCTCCATGATTTTTTAAAGATATGATACAATGGTTCTGAGATAACGTCTACCAGCTCTTTCAGAACTCTGGGATAAAATCCATCAGGTCCTGGTGATTTATATTCATCAAGGTCAGGCAGATGTTCTCTTAACACAGAGGTCTCCAAACTTGGCAATTTTTAAGACTTGTGGACTTTAACTCCCAGAATTCCTCAGCCAGTCTTTGTTCATTCTGAACCTTTGTTTTCCTGACTTCATCTTTGCAGATTTGGGCTATCTGCTGATATTCTGCTTTAGTTATATGTCCATCTTTCTATTTTTTGTACTAATCCTTTTTGTCTTTCAGTTTATCAGAGAGATCTTTGTGCTGGTTTCTTTTTGGATTTCTTGTTCTTTTTTAGTGGTTATTGTGTAGGACTGAGCTTTTATTATCATATTTTTCAGTGTTTCCCACGCTTCTTGAGTTGTTTTCCCTTTTAGGATTTTTATCCATGCAATTTTGCTTAGGCAAAATTGTTAAAATTGACAAAGGAATTTTATAAAACAATGAAAAAAGAATTGAAAAATTGAAAAAAGAATTTTAGATTAAAAATGATATTTAAGAGTTAAAAAAGGAAGATTAAAATTGGAACAAGGAATTTTAAAATTGAAAAAAGAAATTTAAAAAATAAAAAGGAATTTTTCTTAAGAAAGAGAATTCAGAGATTTTTAAAAATTAAGAATTTACAAGACTTTTTGGCCCTTTTAAAGTAATATGCACTTTTATTTTTGGAAGTCTCTGGCTATTTTCTAAGAGATGCTTTGCTCTTAACCCTCTACTCCCTGACTTGAAAGTTTATCCTTTTCCTCCCTGTCCACAAGTGTTTTGTACTTATTCTTTTCCCCCCTGGTTTCTTGCCCTTCGGTTGCCTGGCCACTGCCGGGGTTTTCAGGTACAATGTGGGAGCTCTGCTTAGATGAGCTAATGTAGGCACTCTGCTTAGAGGGTGTACCATGCTACTCTCAACTGCTGCTTGTCTGCCACACTGCTCTCACCCACTGCTCTGGGTGTCACTGCTCAATCGCCCTTGT